TATTATTAATTATTTTAGGGCTTCTGATGATTTAAATGTTAAAATATTTTAGAACAGTCCAGTTGCGGTGAACTATTCGTGCAAGACCGTATCCACGAAATTTATAATAAATAGCTTGCCCGCTCTACCTCCCTCTGACTTGTCTGTTCAAAATTTGGATTACCAGAAAGCCTTCATTGGATGAGATAACCCTGGATCGCTAACGTAATACCGAAATGTTTGCAAGCTTACACTGTCGAAACAAGAGCCGATAGTAAACATCAAAGGAACAAAAGCTGTTTACAATTCTGAATACAGTCGAACCTCCATGCGCGACCACCTCTCACTAGCGACCACTTATCCAAAACCCCAATCTTTTTCCGGTCCAAGCCTTATAGTTCAGTGGAACTTCTCGTAAACAACCTCCTCTCGTATTAAGAGACGACCATTTTAATTAGGATGACGGTTTGTCCTTAAACTCTTCCAAGCGACCACCTGATATAATTGTCTGATCTCTGTGTTTACTGCGTGGACTTCGGCGCTACTCAGAGTTTGAAAATAACTTTTAGAAACAACAAGGATTTAATATAGTGTAACCAAGAAATTAAATAAATGCAATACATTCTCCCACGAGAACATTCTTTTGATTCCCTTCAAAAGTGAATGTGTTCGGACTTCTCTAGGTAAGCGTAAGAGGCCACCTCCCATAAGCGACCACCAACTCTTCGCATTTTGGGTGGTCGCGTACGAGAGGGTTGATCGACTTTATGACATTGCCCTTTGTAATCCAACTTTTAAACACTAACAATAGTCATAGTCAGATTTAAAACAAAAGCATTGCGAGTAGAACCGGAATTCCATGTTTGTCTGCTTGTGAAAAAACAATAACTTAGTTTTGTCCCCCGCAAATAAATGATTAAACTTTCCAATTAACATTTCTCCAAGGAGACTGGCTTAACAGATTTATTTGATTATTATAGGACCTCATGTTTACCGGTTCCTCGCTCAAAGTCGTTTGAACACAAGCGCGACGAACATATATAATGCCTTTCAAGGAGGTTTTTCTCCTTATCTGGGGAACACTTTTCTGTGCAGTGTTGAAACAAGGATCACCGGAACCTGTAAGTTTGACTTGAATATTAAACGCGTACCGATAAATTGGAGGGTTGAATGGCGCATCAAAGACCGGAATCGGATACTCAGGGGGCTAATTCCCTCCCTATCTTGATTTTATAAAAGGCTTTCTGTCGATATGGCCGAGATAATTGTGACATTGGAATCGCTCGCCAAAAAGGCAGATACTATGTTCTCAAAATTTACAATGTTCTGAAGAAGTCTAGTTTAGCGTAAATTTTACACTTTTGCCGAAATAAAAGCCAAGCATTTCATTACCTAGAAAGGCTCTTAAGAGAAGATACTAAATGATGTTTTCAGTCGTAGGTCAAAAAGCCGCTATTATTGCATCATGGGCAATTAACATTATTATCTGTTAGCGGTGTCGCGTTAAAATCAAATACGCTTTGGTATTAAAACTTGAGTTGTTAACGAAACTATTGCAATGGCATTAAATGCTTTTTTAAAAATTTAACTTATCACACTAAATTATCTTGAACTGGTTACCTCAAGGAAATCGGCACACTTGGCTCCTATTGGCCATATGCGGGTCGCAAATTCTGGGAAAACGCTATTTTTCATACTAGTAAACTGGCGGTGATGACTGATACAACAAAAAAGAACGTAATATAAGGAGAGTTATTTCCTTATCCAAAAACTGGTAAAGTCCCTTTTGCGGAAGGAATATTCAGATCGGCTTGAAAAACGTTACATGGTAACACCAACATATATTAAAATTATTTTCTTTCATTTAGGTAACCCTTCCTACAAATAATATGTTGGTATTGCCTGTTGGAGATTGTAGCGAAAAGATTTTATTGAACCATTTAAATTTCCCATTTTGAAGTCTTATGGGAGAAAGAGTAGTGCAACTCCCATGGATGACAGGTTTCAGATATTTTTTAACCTTGTTCACTCAAAACAGCTTAAACTGTTGGTACGATTCCCAATAAATTAATTCGGGTGGGGAACTTTCCGATTTACTTTTTGCTAAAGGCACAAACAATTCATGTAAACTGCTGAATCGTAAACTTTTTCTTTTTAATACAGATAACCAGAGCGGTGTTTGTGGAACCCCTAATACCACCAAGGTAATGAGCACTGGCCACAATAAAGTTTGTCCTTTTAGTTAATTGCCTTCGGAATTGAAATCTCCAGACGTGAACGGGACCCATATATTGTGTTACTTCTTTTAGAAGAATTACGCTGAAACATTGGAGCATTGAGTCCCTAGATGATGTTACCCGCATATTATCCTAAATCTAGCCTGCAGTGTAGGCGTATTATACATTTCGTACTTCGTGAAGTCACCATCCTTGATTTCAAAAGCAGAGGAAGACCGGGAAGAATTAAAAGTGCGATAAACAGGGGTCACCACAATCAAACCAGAAACATTTGCAAAGTTTACTAAAAACGTTCTGAATAAGTTTTTGAAAACTGAAACGGGTTTTAATGTCGGCGTCATTTGCAAACAAAATTTTGCTGGGGCGACAAAACTTTTATGCAAAGAAGCTCGTTATAATAATAATAATAATAAAACGCATTAGTTGCATTAACAAATTACTTTGCTCATCCTTGCCTGTTTGTTCCCTCAATTTTTACTATAATACCGCTTAATAAAACAGAGCACGCCTTAGACGTTTGAGCCCAGCGGATAAATAAGCTAGACGTGAGGCGAAAGATGCCCCCGTATCCAGTTTCTAAATTGCGACTCTCCCACCACACCTCACGCGCCTGACCCAGAAAGCTAGCCCCTGAATTGAAGGTTAATCCAGTAAATCTTAACAGGTGAACTGTTTAAAAGTAGTTAAAAAAAAAAAATTCCTTCCGACACCTAGTTGCATTTATAACTCTCTAAATTACCCTTGAAGTTTATTTTAGTTTTTAAGTTGGAAATTTCACTCTACTGCTCCTTTTGAAATAAAATGACCGTTAAGCTATAGGTCAATCAGAATTCCTCAATTTTATACCTCGAATTTTACATTCAGATTGAAATGAAATAGGCCACTTCCGAGTTCCAAAAACCACCACTTTCAAAATGAGGCCAGGTGTACAACCTTTCTTGGGAAAATGAGTTTCATTTGCAGGAAAATGAAAAATCATTTCCTGTTCAAAGGTTGAGCACTTAACCTCGTTTCGATACGGAGGTCCGGGGGAACTCAGAAATGGCCTACTGATTGACAAGATAATGTTCCTTTGACTTCATGGCTGTTTATTCTTTTCTCCACAAAAGTTTTTAACTATACCGTTTTGCTATAACATACCTATGAATAAAACACACATCATCTACACGTCATGGATTCTTCTGTAAGTACTGCTTATACGACGGCACTTGAATTGCAGTTAATTATTTCTATTTTTTGCAGGGCAAACAAATCGATGGTTCGAAAAATGCCACTGAAGGTTTGTATTATAGGGATAAATGCGCATGCATTAAATGATTCACTTGCTGCTTAACGCCCAAAACAGAAAACTCGCTCGTTTTTCACCCCTTTGATGTAAGGTTGTTTTGCAATGATTTATTTCTCCCTCTTGACACTAATTATACTATACAAGTTGTTGCTTATCAGCCGCTTTTTGCCCTCAGAAGCTTTTACCTTTTTCTGATTGTGACCCCCTTATTCGCTGCATATTATTTTGACCATCGTCTAATTCTCAAACTTTCTAAAAATCCAAGGTTTTCTGGCAGACGGTGCAGTGGAAGGTCTGCAACTGAAAAGAAGCAATAGGCCACTTGCACTAAGAGGTCACGTGACCAATGCTTCCTTTAAACAAGGAGTTGGAATCTTGCTGATGCCAAAAATTGACAGAGCACATAAAAATTATCTTACACCTGAAATTTGAGGGGAAACGCATTTAAGGGAGATATTTTATGGCACTTTGATTTTTCAACAAAGTAGTATCATTTGTATTGGCCGCCATGTTGGAGGGCATACTCTCACCCTCCAACATGGCGGCCAAAACTTCTTTTTGCTTAGATCTTGTTAAACGTTTGATAGTTACGCTCAGATGTGCTGTCTCGGTGGTGCTTCCGATTGGTTGAATCAAATTTCCAACGCAGCACGACCAATCAGAAGCACTACCCAAATTTGGGTAGTGACACGTCATCAGTATGGAACTTCTGCGCTCGTTTCTCACACGGGCGAGGAAGCCAGAGGTAGCGTCGCCAAAAAGATGCCTGAAGCTTGAAAAATTAGAAATTGACAAAAAATTAAGACGGAATCCACTAGGAAATTGAGTAATTTTAATTTTCAGTGGATAAAACCTTGTACCAGAATAATTTCAATCACATTGTATTATTTTACACTTTTGGAGGGCTATAAATGCAATACGTTATATGAAATAACTCTAAAGAAAAAGCTCCCATGGAAGCCCGAGAAAACAAACATCAAAAGCTTCAAATTTCACAAAATGAAATCTTACGCATGACGCAGTTTTTACCTGTGTTTTCTCAAATCCCGTGAAATCTGAAATTTATTTTGTCGGGTTTGTCCGTAAAATTATAGCCTCTATAAGACGAACACCCCTGTGATGCAGACGCTTGGATTTGTCTCTTTAGTGTTTGTACAAAAGATATTTGACTGTAGTCCTTTTTTTATAACATAGACCACCCGATAAGGGGACACTTTGGTCCCTTTTGGAGTCCGTTTTCTAGGCGGTTCGACTGTAAAATTCGTGTCCCTATAATATATACACCCCCGTAATGCGTACACTTGGCTGCGTCTCTTCTCAAAATACCGTCTTTTCTTTTCAGTTTCCAATGAACAATCAACCAGAAGCATTCCTTTAAGACCCTTGCACCCTATATGGTGCTAACCGAATTTTGTTCCATCTTCCAGATAACGGAACGAAAAGATGTCTTTTTCTCACGTCCAAAGAAGCCCTTAACATTGAAGGGCCTGATCAGGGCTCTCAGAAAATTTACCCAGAGTTGGGAAAAAATTAAACAAGCTATCTATCTTAAATTCGACCTACCTCAAAATGTATTTGAGTCACCAGTTATGAGCCAGTCAACTGCGTCACAAGCAGTAGGCCAGTTATATGCTCCAACAACAGAAAGGCTTACAACTACGTCACCCACAGAAGGCCAATCAACTACAGGACCAAGGACCCCACCAACAGAAAATGTCCAAATTTCATCACCAACAGAAGGCTGGTCAACTGTGACACCACCATATCCAAAATCCAAGCCAACACCAGTCAATCATTATGCCGGGGCATATAATGTTCCCTTTGAATATTACAGCGGAAGAAAACGAGGAATTTTTTCTACCAAGGTACGTTAACAGAAAAAAAAAGTTGATTAAAGTATTGATTCAATAGTGCACAAACGCTCGCGGTAAATTTTTCAACAGTACGTCCTCAAGCCGGTTAAGCTAGATTTAATCCCATGACCTCTGTGACAAATGAGCTAACTTCTCTCCATCTTAACAGATCAAGGAGAGAGTTAACGAACTGTAGGTTGGTAACATATGACGGACGTCGATGATAACTAAAATTAGTCTGAATGAATAGCAGTAGCGAAAAGCCCCGGCTTTGAAAACCAAAACAATGGGGGATGAATCGCGTTTTTCAAGCTAAAGTTGTTTTGCTTCGATATTTTTGACCAACTAGTTGGATTTTACTAAAACAATTACAGTCGACTCCCGATAACTCGAACCTTCAAGGGAAATGGAAAAAGGTTCGAGTTATCGGGAGTTCGAAGAAAATAGCCGAGAGAAAGGTAAAAAACAGTTTTTACTGCACAGTGAACATTTTAATCACAATTAATCGTAGAAATGTCAAGTGAAAATTAAAAGATACTTTTAGATTATAAATCAGAACGTAACGTAACAAAACATAGCCTAAACAGAGCATGCGTTTTACTGTTTTGAGAAGAAAAGCTGCTTCACGTTAGCCTGTGACAATCAACATTAGCCTCCACTAGTAAACTATACTCCTACAACAAAATTGGTTCGAGTTAGAGGGAGTTCGAGTTATCGAGGGTTCGAGTTACCGAGGGTAAAATTACAGTGAATTTATGACGGAAATCCAGGGGAAATCAATTTTGGTTCGAGTTAGCGCGAGGTTCGAGTTAGCCAGGGTTCGAGTTATCGGGAGTTGACTGTATTCCTCTCGCCTCATGGCCTCTAAGTCAATAGCCATTAACTGAGAGCCCATTCGGGCTCGAGGAATAATTGTTAAATACTTGCACGGGGAGGTTGCTAAGCACGAAAGAAGCGAAGTGCGACTCTAACTTCTTTCAATTCGTGCTTAGCAATCCTCCCAAGTGCAACTATAACTAATTTCTGTGCGTGATTTTTTTATATACACCAAACTAACGAAAGTATGGCCGGTCTGTGCAGTCAGAGGATAATATTGGTGCCAAGTCTATAGATGCAAGGAAAACTGAGATCGTCAGAAAGGTAAGTGTGGCGCGAAATCAAGAATTTTTCTACGGTTTATGTAAGGTTGGTAAATAGTTCTTCTTGCAATATATGTAGTAAGAGCATGTTGAAGACGGCGCTCACTATCTTTATTGCGCATATTTTCTGCGCATCCCAAGAAGTGGAGGGGAAAAAACGCGAGAAATGCGCAACACGCGGGACTTGTTGAAATGAGGGTGGCGGAAGTTCTGGTTATTTCCTGTGGAAAAGATGCGTCGTTTTCTCAACAGATGAAGTAACCTTTGCCAGATCTCTCATTTAGAGTAACTTGCTCCTCGCCGCTAGGGTCGTTTCGGCAAGGGGTGAGGAGACTCGGAGAGAAGGCAGTACACTTCCAAAGGCTACAAATATAGAGTAAGAGAAACAGTTTCTTATCCACTTGTCCCTTGGACAAGCACTATATTAAATTTGTTTGTCCAAAACCCAAGAGTTCTTTTCCAAAACAATTTGCCAGGTTCCTAAGCCAAATGGAGTTTGTGAAAACAAACAAAATGGCCGCGTCATATATTTATTAACCTTATTTTGTCAAGTATGAGGTTTGCTATATTTATGACTATAAGGAAAATTTAAATTCCACTGTAATTTGAAGTCAGTTTTCAACTGTTTCTGTTTTTTTTTTTCTAATTAAAAATTGAAAATGTACTTGTCCAACGGACAAGTCATGTCAAAAGGTTTTTATGTCCGAACTAAATTTCTACCCGTCCCGGACAATCGGACATAGGTTTTGGCGCACCCTGAACTATAGTGGAACGAGGTTTTTCATACATTTATATGCCAATACTGTCTCCTTATAATAAATTTTGAAAAAAAACCTTTTAAATCAGTGATTTTCACAGTCAATCGCTTCGTTTCTTATTTGTCAAACCCCCTTGGCCCTGACTTTAGTTACATGTTTTTAGTTGAACGTTTGTAAGCTTTAAACTGAAAAGATTATTTGACACTTTTCATTCAAAGAAAAATCCCAAGCCCAAGGAGCAACAAACGGTAAGAAAACCATTGTTCTTTTAAGTTGTAATAATTCTACAAAAAATCTAGTTGTTCTTTTGTTCCTATAACTGAACAGCTACAAGAGTATAACAATGGCAATTTTTATGACAAAACTTTCGCACGGATTTTCAATTTATGGAAATTCTAAGGCTCAACGAATTTTAGCCGGAGACAAAATTCTTTTCCCGGTTAGGCGGGCTGAGATTTCACAGGAGTCGATCGGCTCCTGGATTTCAGCTCCGCTTCCGGACCAAATCTTNCGACATATATTTATTAACCTTATTTTGTCAAGTATGAGGTTTGCCATATTTATGACTATAAGGAAAATTTTAATTCCACTGTAATTTGAAGTCAATTTTCAACTGTTTCTGTTTTTTTTTTCTAATTAAAAATTGAAAATGTACTTGTCCAACGGACAAGTCATGTCAAAAGGTTTTCATGTCCGAACTAAATTTCTACCCGTCCCGGACAATCGGACATAGGTTTTGGCGCACCCTGAACTATAGTGGAACGAGGTTTTTCATACATTTATATGCCAATACTGTCTCCTTATAATAAATTTTGAAAAAAAACCTTTTAAATCAGTGATTTTCACAGTCAATCGCTTCGTTTCTTATTTGTCAAACTCCCTTGGTCCTGACTTTAGTTACATGTTTTTAGTTGAACGTTTGTAAGCTTTAAACTGAAAAGATTATTTGACACTTTTCATTCAACAGAAAAATCCCAAGCCCAAGGAGCAACAAACGGTAAGAAAACCATTGTTCTTTTAAGTTGTAATAATTCTACAAAAAATCTAGTTGTTCTTTTGTTCCTATAACTGAACAGCTACAAGAGTATAACAATGGCAATTTTTATGACAAAACTTTCGCACGGATTTTCAATTTATGGAAATTCTAAGGCTCAACGAATTTTAGCCGGAGACAAAATTCTTTTCCCGGTTAGGCGGGCTGAGATTTCACAGGAGTCGATCGGCTCCTGGATTTCAGCTCCGCTTCCGGACCAAATCTTTTAGAAAAAAATTTGCATTATATCATGAATACAGTACAGCCCGGATATCCTGACCAATGGCTGAATTGTTGTCATTAACTTGGGCGTGTGCAATCAGCTGCGAGCTGCTGAGCATTAAATGTGAAATACCTTTATTGTAAATTTTCCCGCAAGTTTTAAACAATTTTAAAGTTTAGACTGAAATTTGCAATGTAATAGCAAAGAAATTTCAGCCCGGAGGGCCAGACAAAACTTCACTTTGCGATGGAATTCACCATCTTGTTGGCCCCTTGAATTCAAAACAAATTGATTGTCACTAAGAGCCATAATTTGTTCTCACCCGTTGCTACTAATACACCACCCCCTTTTGATAGAAACTTACCCGAATTTTTTAGGATTTCTTTTGGCAAATGCATAAGTTGCGTCTATAACTGCGATGTTCTTCCTTGAATTTGCTACTTTTATACATCACTCATTCTTAAAATATTCCCTATACCCTTTTGTAGCTCTGGGACTTAGAGAAGATTCAATAAGTACCTAGTGTCAATAAGTGGAAAAAAAACTAATTTCAGTTTTCTCTACTTAACTCGTGTCTTCATTTCTTTTGGACTGCAGAAGGATTCCCCTCACAAACCTCCCCAAATGATTGCAGGCTACAACCAAGTATTTAAGGTAAAAAGAATTATTTGCCAATGTAACCTTTATGTTGGTTTCACCCTCTCGTCCCGAGAATTTTGAAAAAGGCATGTTGACTTGTCTGGGCTTCACATGATAAGCGAACATGTCAAAGGTTCGGTCAACAGGTCAGGATGAACTAATGACATGAAAAGCCCCAGAGAATTAAAGGGTAAGAAATCTCTCAAAGGATGTGGTGCGGGGGGGAAGGGTAGGGACAGTTAAGAGTTGACGTTGACGTATAAATCATGTTTAGCTACAAAAAAAGTAATTTTCAAAATATTGTGAACAAATGAACCTTGTCATTTCGTCAGTTAACTGTTTTCACTCCAAGGGTCTAAAAAAGGATTGCAGTTTTTTCTGACTGGGTATGTGAGAGGGGTATCATTTTTTCAATGGAAGGTATTAGTTTAGCGTAAAGGGATAGTATCACGAGATATGGACACACCCATTGATGTATTTTCAACAATGAAATCTTCTCTTGAATTGCTCCTGTGAGAAGCACTTTGATACTAGCAGTAATCCGGTAGGATTATGTAAGGATTAAGGGGTTACAATATCTGGATAGACTTCATTATTTCATTTTTAACTCTAGTATTAGAATCCTTTCATACAGTGGAACCTCTTTATAACGAATTCGTCGGTATAACGAACAATTTTCTTCAGTCCGGCCAAAATTACAACAAAATGCATGGAACAGAACATCGATATAACGAAATCCTCATGATAACGAACACAATCCAGAAACGCAAACGTAAATATACCTCGATATAACGAATAAATGTCAGCATGTGACCGAAAGATAGCTAAAGATAAATGCCAAATAGACCAACGAGAGTAGAATTTATGTCAGACAGTGGTTTTAAGCGGTTTTGTTTGCCTGTTCTTGTGTTTCCAGTGCCGTAGGTATGTACAGCTCTGAACTGAGACAATAGCTTCGTATACAGGGCCGAGTTGTTCAAAGCTGGGTTAAGATAACCCAGGGTTAGTACGAGATTTGAATTCAGATTTAAAAGCTTAAAAAGCATTTCAGTTTTAATTCTTTTTGTCTACAGGTTGATGATTGGAAAAATAACAGAGAAAATTAAACGAGAAAATGCTTTTGAGCACAAGAAAAAGAAAACAGGGTCAAATTTAACCGCAGGTTAAGCGCTAATCGGCCTTCGAACAACTGGGCCCAGATGTTTATTCCAGAAATTGTTCAGATCCGAAAATGCTGGGCGTTGGAAATTAATCATTAACTATACCTCGACATAACGAACATTTTGCTTGTTTTGCCAAAAATTCATTATATAGAAGTTTTCGATATAACGAACAAATTTTCCCAGTCCGTTGGAAGACTTCGTTAAATCGAGGTTCCACTGTAAGAGGCTAATGTGTGAGTGTGTGTTTTTTTAAATCATGCACTTTACCTGAAGTGGGGCCGGTCTGTGCAGTCGGAGGAAGATATGGGGGCTACGCCCGTCAGGTCAAAGAAAAAGGGTGCCAGAAAGGTAAGTTTGACGCGAGCTAGAGGAAGTAAATATTTTGAACGGTTAGTGCGAGTGAATAGACACCGTTCGGTGCAAACGTTAATAATAATTTGGCATGTTTCAATCCAGAAGAAAAAAGACAAAGCTAAGAAGCAAGGAATGGGGATAAATAATTATCCTTAGTTGTCAACTTTTAGATGTACGTTTTACGCCTAACAGAATAGTGGTGTTCAGTCAATACAACTTATCTTAAGTCAGACTTACGAACTGAATTTGAAGTTCCTAGTCATAGACATTTATGGCAAATCAGCCGAGGTTAAAATTCTAGCCCAGTTAGTCATGTCCAAATCTTCTTAAAAAGTGATGCGTTTATTCATGAAGAGCATGATCAGCCCGGAGCTGATTGGTGCAGGACAGCAGATGGTGGTCGACAAAAAATAATAAATAAATAAATAATAGATAGGAATAAATAAATGTGTTAGATAAATAATATAGATAGATAAATAAATAGGATAAATATATATATATATATATCAGTTGTGACATCTTCGGAGTGAAGACAGAGTGGGCAGACATGTGGCATTTTACAGAGTTCCCCTCCCCTCGTAGGCAACCACTTGACACAAACGGAGGTAAACTGGGTAATGGGACGTTGCACCACCCTGATAGAGAAGATATAGTTTCTTATTACAACGCTCAATGTCCAGAATGTCGAAGTGTTCTCTGGTTTTACTACGCAACTCAGAGATGCTTTTAGTGGCATTTAGATGTGTGTTATGTAGCCTGCGTCATTGCAACCAGCCCATGTATCGCCTCAACTATTGACCAAGCGGTGTCGTTTAGAGCTTGTGCGACACGAGCTAACTGTTTCGTACTTTACCCTAAACCTAGACAATATACTCAGCTGAGTTTTCTTTGTTCATAATACATGTCTTCCTCATCTCTTTTGGACTGCAGGCCACACAAGATAACGGTTCTAGGCTTGGACGTTTCACCCAAGTTTTTGAGGTAAATTACTTGCCAATATTATTGTTCTTGATATTGCTGTGTTGAATCTTCATTTGACATTTAACAGGCGTTCTACGTCGCCCTCTCCCCCCCTCCTCCAGGCACAAGTACACGTGTCATTAAAGACGATTGTCTTCAACAAGACCAAAAGTAAAATCGATTTAAACTCACAAAAAATTGGTCGAGAATATTGAGCTGATTACGATTCGACAGACAGCGGAGTGCAATTAAAACTTCTTTCCGCAAAAGTTTCTGGAAGGGGTAAGAATGAAAGGTCTATGACGTCAGTGAATAAAAGTGCACTGTCATTTCAGGGGCGTAGCTATCTGTACGCACGGTACGCACGTGCGTACCCGGAAAAAGTCGTGCACAAAAAAGATGTAAAATGAAAAAAAAAGTAAAAAATAATAAGTTAATTAATTCTAAAAAGAATACAAAATATCTAAAGATAATTATTTTAAGAGCCCAATTTGCCTCAAATCACTCAACTCTGGTTGTTTCTTTGAAATACATAATAGACTTTTTTTTCCTCTCGACCCAGATGTCGGGAGCTACGAGGTAATTCATTAACGGATCGAATCTTGAATAACATATATATCTAGTGAAATGATGGCAGGCGTTTTTACCAAAAACATGTGCGGATTCCTAACCGTTCACGCACATCGATAAATCCTGGAAGCAACGACGAAGGCGACGGTGACGGCGACGGCAATGAGAACGTCAAACGAAACAAGCCCAATAAGTAAATGAAAAACAACTAATTTTGCAATTTTGCACGTGCAGCGCGCTTTTCTTTTCGTACAACCTGTACGAACACGAGGTTAAATGTCCTTTTCCGGCGTTGTTTGAAGGACGTAAACACAGGGGCAAGTTCAATTTCTTCTCTGAGGTCGAACCTTGGGTGCGGTCCCCAAGACTCCATAGGAAGTTCACCTATATATGCCATTTTAACGGAGTTGAAATAAACACGAAAAATTTAAAACTAACAATAAAAACACACATTCATTTCGATAGCTAGAGACGCTTTCGTTGCCCTCGTCATTGCTAAAGCACCCTATATTCATGAAAGTGACAGGGCCATTTTGGTTTTATTGCAAACTCGTATGACCAAATGCGGAAAAGTATCCGGATAAGTTGAAGAAATTGTTTCCACTATAAAACATTTCGAATTTACAAGGCATCGGATTCACTCCAGAAATGTACGTAGCCTTATTGAATGATAGATGATTGACCTGCACCAGTCAATGGACCCAAACACGCGACAAATTATTTTGTAAGTTGCTAATATCATTTCAAACGCAGAAAAAAAACTCTTAGGCTTACAACGCAACCAAATCTTTAACTAGGGAAGGCTGTTGTTGTTGTTTTTTTTTCTTCGGGGGGAGGGGGCGGGGCGGAGGGAGGGGGCAAAGCGATTTGGAGAATTGCGCGTACCTCTGAAAAAATCCTGGCTACGCCCCTGCATTACGAACCACTTGCTGAGACCCACTCTCATTGTAAGTTGTGTCCATCGATACATCTCTACACCTTCTCCTGAACGATAGTATTCTACCTACTTTTGTCTTGACTCCACGGTTCAAACCATTTACGATATTATTGTTCACATTGTCATCGCTGTCATTATTGTCATCAGCATTATCATCATCGTTAAAAGTTCACATTAGAAACGATGAAGGCGTAGCAAACAATCAACCCTTTTCTCGCGTTGTTTCTTCTTCAGTGACTTGTACAAAGAACTAGCACAAGAAGGAGAAGGCGAGCAGACATTTATTCAAATAACAGGACGAATCAATTAGAATAGTGTGAGGACCGCAAGCCTACTTGCACTGTAGACACACAAAACAACCTGCGGTGTCTGTTCTTTGCAATGTAACTTTAAGTAGAAATAAAGCCATTCTTCCATTAGAACCGTGTTTTACAAATTTTCTTTGCTCACAAAATACCATCAGGAACTTGTTTCCAAAAAACATTAAATTTGTGATAAGGACAACGCAATTTTTGAGACTTGTAACGCCGGTGCATGTATACAGTCGGTCCTATCATGATCTTCCCTTAGCTTTCAAGACCCCTATTGGTTACAGGTCGTTCAAACCTTTGTAGTCGATTTTTCGACGCGAAAAGAGTAGTTTTTAGAAAAAGCGATAAGCAGCCAGATCTACATGATTGCAGTCAAAGGGGGCTTACAACCGATTGCGATTTCTGTTAAAATACCCTTAATTTTAGCTTGAACGCTTATAACTTACGAGCCCGGCAACCCCATTTCTTTACCGTAGAAGCTTTCCAGTCTGCTAAATTTAACCTTTCAAAAAATCATTTCTAAATATTAGGTTTCGAGGTATTTTATCATTTGATCAATTTTTTTCAGGATAAAGTGTTTGTGAAAGCGTGAAATTAAATGAAAGAATTTTTTTTGTACTGTTTCAATGATTCTCTATTGCAGCATAAGAGATATTTATGCTTCATGTTCCTTTACATATTACAAAAGTTATTGACGTTGGCGGAGTCTCGCTTTGGGTGAGCTCTGTTTGCTGGGACACAAAATAATCACAAACCCATTATGGGATATTTTGGCCACGGGAGTGGCCGTTTATTAAATTAAAGCGTATAAAGCTGGGAAAACCAGATACACAAGAACATTATCCCAGCAAAGGTGAGGGCACACCCGCCACTCCCTAGGGTAAAATAAAGGTAACGGGAGGGAAGGGAGGGAAAAATGTTTCTGACTGTCTTGTAATGCGAGGAAGGAGGCCTTGTGCCTCGCTTCTGTGACTTACATGACCCGTGACATAAATGACACTTTCGTGACAAATCACCCGGATGACAGGAAACCCTCCTTTGCTGGTAGCTGGAGAAATACAATAATGATCAGTCACATAAAGCATAAAACCATTTATTTCTTTCAGAAATAAATATCATTTTTAATTTGCAAACTTCATAAACCTTATATTTTCAGGAAATGATGTCTTGACAGTCCTAAATAAATCTTCTTTTAAGATCTGTCATTTATCTATAAAGAAACCTATATAGGAGGCTGACAATTAATTTGAAAATGGTGGTAAAAATGTGTGATTGGCATTAAAGAAACCCTATTACACGTAGCTATTTGATCCAATATAAATAATGTACGAACACTAGACAATTCCCTATTATTTTGTATTGGCGTGGTATTAAGGAGTTAAACCTACTAAACAGGAATGGTAATATGCACCTGATTTTAATAAACTATATATTACCTTAAACAATGGAAAAGCTGAAAACGATTTCAGGAGTGAACGCGGGAGAGATTCCAACATCGTTTGTTCCTTCCCCAAGCGTTTCCTTTTCACCCCACAATTCGCGTGCACGGACGTTCAAAACAGACTTGTCTAAGAAGTACAGAGCACTTACAGTGTGACATCAGATCTAATAGTCTATAATCCCACAAAGGCAATTCAGAAACAGCTGTTTAACATTTTCCTTGCCCTCTACCCCACGACTAGGAAATATGTGCAACTGTGACAAATCTCCAAGTAATAGAATTCACTGAACTGTATGTATGTGTAGAATTTAGTGTTAGTTTAATACAACATTATCTCATTTTTTTACGCGGGAACTGTCTACTGTGGCCTGTTCCTCTTTCATCTGACACAAGATTCAATTAAAAATTAAAAATTTCGTTTATTTCGTAATCTTTTAAACAAATTAATCAAGAAAGCGATATATGTCTTCTCCAATAAAAGTTTTATTGATATAACAAATGCTTATGAAAGAGAAGGGAAAGATAAAAAGCTTTGATACGAATTTCTTGACAGCTTATGCCCACTTCGGGCACTGACAATCAAGATCACTGGCGTGATCAGTCAAATATTGTTTACTTTCCTTCATTCGTTTTGTATTTTGCGATGCACTTAACATGGTGAAGATAACACCCTTTTTATAGCACAGAAAACTTTTCTTAATTAAACCTGGGTTCGTCAGTTTAAATTGCATTTCTTTATTTTTCTTTAGTTCGCTATGAAAGACAAACATGAATGAACCGTACTTTCGTCCACACGTGAAGGCGATGTAAACGATCATCGAAAAAGCTAGAGTGTGTAAATGGTAACGGATAAATATGTCTTTTCCTTGAAGACAGCCACACAAACGGATAGGTTTGTAGGCGTTTACAATCTCTTAAAAACTGAGACTTGTGGTGACATTTGTTAAGTATCGACCTCGTGAAAAATGTTTCAGTTTTAAAAAAACTACGAATGTTCAGTCTGCACATATAAGACATATAATATGAAGTGCCACGTGGAGAGCTAGTATTTGCAAACCGGTTTTACAATTTTGACACCTAAGAAACCACCTCACGGTAATCGTGATTAAGGTATAATTTCCGCCGTAATGATTGGTTACTCCAGCAGTGAAATACGGAAGTATTATCAGCAGCAAATGTTATAACAAATGCGTTCATTCAATAAAGCATTCGGGTCGTCACGAGGCTATTGTCGATCGCTACGCACCTTCTAGCAGAGAAAGCATGACCAATTTTCTGAGAAAACTCGTTTTTTCTTTCATTGCTTCAAGTCTTCTTATACTGAATTTAATCCACGCGAGACACCTATTACCAAGGAGGGATATTCAACCACCAGTAGAAAATTATTTTCCAGAGACCTCTTCCTATCACAGGCCTTGGTACGGGGGACGAAGAGAAGCCGAATTACCGAAAAAGGTATTTAAAACATAATTTGCTTCAAGTTTTAAAAGGAGCGATGAGTACATTTGGCAACCCAATGGTATACATATAGGGAGTTGATATTGTTTATTGTGACACATTGGAGCAAAAAGAAGCGAAAACTCCCAAAGCCAGATAAGAAAACTGCTAAATTCTATTAACAATTATTAGAGCTTTCATTATTCATTTGTCGACTTGGGCAAATATAAGTTATCCCTTGTGAAGTTGGTTGCAAAATCAACTTCAAAGATAGAAGTCTAGATCTTCGCTTGGATTCATAGATCACATTTTTTTCTAATTACCAAGTGTAAAAGTGGTTAATAAATATTAACAATATGGCTTTTCTCCTGGGGTACCTTGTACACGACTTTATGTTTTATTTAGACCTTTTAATTTCAACAATCACATTCGTAAGTCGAGTATGAGACAAAATAAACTACAAGCAATTATCACTGCTTGGTACAAAAGTTGTTAATTCAAAACGTATTAATTTCGATACCAAATTGTCTTTTTANTCACAGGCCTTGGTACGGGGGACGAAGAGAAGCCGAATTACCGAAAAAGGTATTTAAAACATAATTTGCTTCAAGTTTTAAAAGGAGCGATGAGTACATTTGGCAACCCAATGGTATACATATAGGGAGTTGATATTGTTTATTGTGACACATTGGAGCAAAAAAGAAGCGAAAACTCCCAAAGCCAGATAAGAAAACTGCTAAATTCTATTAACAATTATTAGAGCTTTCATTATTCATTTTTTGACTTGGGCAAATATAAGTTATTCCTTGTGAAGTTGGTTGCAAAATCAACTTCAAAGATAGAAGTCTAGATCTTCGCTTGGATTCATAGATCACATTTTTTTCTAATTACCAAGTGTAAAAGTGGTTAATAAATATTAACAATATGGCTTTTCTCCTGGGGTACCTTGTACACGACTTTATGTTTTATTTAGACCTTTTAATTTCAACAATCACATTCGTAAGTCGAGTATGAGACAAAATAAACTACAAGCAATTATCGCTGCTTGGTACAAAAGTTGTTAATTCAAAACGTATTAATTTCGATACCAAATTGTCTTTTTTGCGATATACAGACGAATAATCACAATGTTCAGTAATACTTTGGGTGACTCTAAGGGAAATATCAGATAGAAATTAATTCATTGAAACTAGATTTCAGATAACAAAATTTTTTTCCTCTTTCTTTTAGTTAAAAATATCTTTTATCTCAAAATATTTAACCTCACACAGATAACTGACCGATCGGATATTTCATTCCAATTAAAACTTGCAATCGGCGATTTTAACCGAGATCAGTAATATGACCACTTTGAACGTAACATGCCTTACTGATTTAATTAAGCTAAAGTCTTTTTATCAGAAAGATTCGCTAAATAAAATTAATTACAATAAAAGTGACCACCAAAGAAAGCACCGGTTCCGTTTCTGCACCGGCGTTACCAAGGACTAAAACCAATCTGATTGGCTATTAATTCAGGCAATCTATTAAACAGTTCGTTTTTTTGTTTATAAAAAACTTTGACACTTAAAAAATCTCGCATGGAGAAAATTAAATATTTTTGTCGATTAAAACCAAACTTATGACCTTTAACTCTAATAAATAATTTTTTGGTGGACAGATCGCGTGTTCAAAACGTTTTCTTATCAATAACACACAATTAGACTAATTTATTAGTGCTCTTTCCGGTGCAATTAATTGTGGTGCAAGGACTTAACAATGTCGTTGGGAAGGCCATGTCAGCCTCAAGCCCTTTCGACGGCGTCTTCCATTAACAGGTATTGTGCTGGTCTTGTCGGAAGAAAGGACTTTTTGTCAGTTGAATAGGGTTTATAAGAATCTTTTTGTTGATTTTCAAAGTCGACGGCGCCAATTTGACGCCACATTTTGACGGTTTTTACTCACTGCATCTAATAGCAAAAGAATAGGCGAAACACACTCAGCTTCTTTCTGTAAAAACGTGATCATAGCGACCCGCTTATCTTTCTAGAATTGTTCAAACGTACGGGTCACAACTCTCTTGTGTTCTGCACGTGCTTTCTCTCTTTTTTGTCCACCTTTCTGGAAACGTGAAACCCGACGTCTGCGAATATCTGCTACGTTACGTTAACGTCTCCGCGTTTGACGCTAGAATAGCACCTGTGATTATTGTCAACTGTAGATGTGGTCACGCCTCTGTTAATTTTATTTGTCTGAAATGTCCCTAGAAGAACAAGAAAAAGGCCTACTTTTTTTCTATGACGACAAAATATTTACCACATATCGCCCAGTTTTTTAAGAACGTCCGACAATCAGATTCAGAAACAACCGTCACTTTTGGGGAACTTTTACTGCTTCTTTTAATGTTTTTTATCACTGTATTGGGAAATTTTGTAGAGAGTTCTTTTGATCCATTACAAGGTGGCTGTCAGAAGGCTTCCATTTGATAACATTAAGACACAACATTATTTTCTGTGAAAATTATTTTGTTCCATACTTATTCAGTGTCCTCCGTTGAGATATTTCCCAATTAGGTTTCAACTTTTGTGTAGATGTATTTTTGCTTCGTTTCATAATCACGAATAAGCGAGCGATAACTGTGGCTTAATTTCAGTCATTTTCTTCAGTCTTTCCATAACATATCAGTCGTATCTTTTCCTTTGTTACACTGAATTACCTTGATTAACACAGTGAGAATGCTAGTTTTCATCTTTCTTTATATTAATTTCATAAGTTAACTGCTTGAAATATTAAGAGTAGGTAAATCCAGTCAATAGTTATACCTATTCATGGCACCTTACTAAAATTATTTTAACACTAGGTATAAACCTGTATAGACAACGAGCACAAAGTAACAATATATATTAACATCAAAAATCCGACCGGCAGTAAAATTTGGAAGTCAGCGAGCTACGCAAAATTATGTTATTATTAATTTTTTTTCAAAAGACAGTACAAACTACCGAAGCAAAAATTCTATAAATAAGGGAGAACACTCCTGGCTTACTTCCCGTGTAAACCTAAATATCCGATCATTTTCCCATTATATTTTCTGTAACTAAAATGAAATCGCTTTCACTTCCGCCTAATTTCAAAAGAAATCCACTCGGAAATTAAATACTGAGCCTATTGACAACAAAGCGACGATATACGCCGCTCTGGTAATACTGTTGAGAGCAAAGGACGTACACTTCCCGTCAGATTTTCCCAAAATTAAACTGTCAGTCCCTGAAAATTGAATTGAAATGACCGTTTTCACGTAGTTTGGTTTGTGTTATCTTTTCTGTCTTTCACATTTTTTCTCAACCCAATAAATTTGTGTGTGGGAATTACAAAATCATGCGGAAAATGTTGCATATTAAAATGAAAGTTACCTGAAGTCAACCTAAGAACTGTGAGGGTCCTCTATAAGGCTCTTGAAACCCGTTATGTCGACCAAAATTTGTTCGCAATCACGTGATATTCAGTTCACAGTTTTTATAGGCTAATCCCTATCCCAAATACAAGCTTTCAAGGCGCCTTAGAGAGGCTCCAGATTCTCTTTTTTTTTCGGAAAGCAGTGGCAGTAGTCAGCTGATAGTTGGCAGGAGCCATGGGGGTGAGGTATTGGGGGCATGAAGCGGAACATTTGAAATAGGCACGTGACGAGGTCGATGGAAGAGCGGGAAAGGTGTGTTGACTTTACATAAACAGTTATTATTATTTTTTTGAACATTTCAGAAAATGCAGTTCAATTCTTCGTTATCATTAAAACAACATTTGCGGAATCCCACATCTAGTAAAATCAGAACAATCTGAAATAAAGAAAACCCTGAAATAATGGTTCAGTGAAAAATACTCTTCAGTAGCGTTCGATGGCTAGGAAGGAAACGGATACAAACTTGATAGTTTTACGTTAACCCTCTATCTTTTTGAAAAAAAAACGTTCACACCTTGTTTTTCCTTAAACATAATCATTTAAAGTTATTCAGTATCTTACTTTCAAAGTTTCAATTTTCACAAAATTAAAGATGAGCGAGAATATTAAAAGGTAATCTTAGCTCAGCTTTGACCAAAAAATGTGGACGTCACCATGACATAGCCCTTCTGTAACACTGAAGTCATACATATTTGATATACTTAAGTGTTTTACCTTCAGGGGCGGGTTGTTCGAAGCTGGGTTAAGATAACCCAGGGTTTGTGCGAAATTTGAACTCAGATATGGGAGCTTAAAAAGCAAATTCAGTTTAACTCTCTTTGCCTACAATTTGATGACTGGATACTCTAAAAAGAATAGAGAAAATTATCCGGATAGAGTGCTTTTGATAAAAAGAAAAAGAAACCCGGGTTAAAATTTAACCCTGGGTTAGTGCTAACCGGTGTTCGAACAACTGGGCACAGGTCTCTAAAATTGATTAATTCACCTAATTGATTGGATTGATTGGAATCGATTACCGTGCGAGATACCGGCCTATTAGATTACATGGAGTTCTACCCAAGCCATTGTTGTCGCTTCAATTGTCCCTCTCTGAGCACAATTGGAGACGACTTAAGAGGGTAGAGACAAGCCAGATGACTTGGAACATGGAAACCAGGCTCAATCTGCGTCTGTTTGTTTGGATCATCTTCTATCCCCGATAAAAGTTTCTATATGACGCATTTGGGAGGCCACTTCAGTGGGCTGCACCCTCCTCTCCTTAGATTTTTTTTTTTTTTTTTGACGCGGGATGAAAAGAGCAGCTGTTCACAAACTATAGCTTCAAAAAAGACAAAACAATACGCAAAACACAAAGGAGAACGCTTAAACATGAAATTAAACCCCACGCTAAAACTCAGCTCTTCGCCTTCATAATTAAAAGTGTCTCATAAGTATCTTTAATTTCTTCCTGGCTGTTAAAGAAATAGATCTATTCATCTCGAAAAAATTAGACACAATGACAAATCGGAAAGAAAGAATAACGATGGTATCTATTCCAATAACTTTTGCATAATTCCGACTTCTCTATCAGGATATTTTTAGAAGCATCCACAAATTTGTAAAACAGTTTACAAAGTTTGAGTAGAGTAATAGCCTTAAAAGGTATCGATTTTGGCGGTTATTTTTTATAACTCCGAGTCTAGGCGTATAAATGATCGACAGCTAAATCAGATTGACAAATTAGGCCGGATGTTACAAAACAGATAGATCAAAGTTATAAAGCAGTCTAAATAAATGTACGAGTCTTTGTCTTAACAAAATCGATCGAAACTAAAGACGCTGTTAATTCAGATAATCAAATTAGAAAATACCGTGAAAATGCACAGATTGCTTAAATATGTCACGATTATCGTGCTTATGTTCTTAAATCTGTTATTGGGTACACTAGCAGCAACTGGAAATATAGGAAAGATACCATTTAAAGCGTTTAAACACAAAGGACTATCTACAATGTTGCGGCACAGACCATGGTATTCAGGCAAACGAGAAAAGCCCTTTCTAAATAACGAGGTGGGTAGACAAACGATAAAAACAAGTCAGTGTAGCTGTATGGAAGTGAGACCTATTTCTTATACTTTTCTGGTGTGTGATGTGGTGGAAAAATGTTACACGGACAGGTAACTGAGCTGAACACCGTGACGTTCATGGTGGGAAATAATCAAAAGAAATAAAAGAAAAAATGTCGGCGCTATTATTTAATCAAAATGTTTTTTGTAGATTCTATCTTCTAAGACATTAAATAAAATATGCTTTAGTGTAAAATCTGGGTCTAATACACATTGAGCTTTTTTGCGAGGAAATAAGAGGTAAAAGAGTTACTCGAGAGAACAATGGAAATGGACGGCAACAGGCGATCTGATTATAAAATTAATATGATTTTTCTCAACATTTGTTAAGCAACTGGTAAATCGAGAACAAAGTCATATCTCTCACACTTTAACTCTCATAAAGAGATACTACAAAGACGAGTGGCTTGACCAGAAAAAAATTCGTTCATCGTTTTGAAACTCATTTATATAAACTCTTGGCGTGGTGTTCACCTGTTGCCAACACGTGTAGTGTTTTCAATTTTTTATGCTCTAATTAATGTAAATGTTTGTTTTGAAACGATGAGCCTATTGACAACAAAGCGACGATATACGCCGCTCTGGTAATACTGTTGAGAGCAAAGGACGTACACTTCCCGTCAGATTTTCCCAAAATTAAACTGTCAGTCCCTGAAAATTGAATTGAAATGACCGTTTTCACGTAGTTTGGTTTGTGTTATCTTTTCTGTCTTTCACATTTTTTCTCAACCCAATAAATTTGTGTGTGGGAATTACAAAATCATGCGGAAAATGTTGCATATTAAAATGAAAGTTACCTGAAGTCAACCTAAGAACTGTGAGGGTCCTCTATAAGGCTCTTGAAACCCGTTATGTCGACCAAAATTTGTTCGCAATCACGTGATATTCAGTTCACAGTTTTTATAGGCTAATCCCTATCCCAAATACAAGCTTTCAAGGCGCCTTAGAGAGGCTCCAGATTCTCTTTTTTTTTCGGAAAGCAGTGGCAGTAGTCAGCTGATAGTTGGCAGGAGCCATGGGGGTGAGGTATTGGGGGCATGAAGCGGAACATTTGAAATAGGCACGTGACGAGGTCGATGGAAGAGCGGGAAAGGTGTGTTGACTTTACATAAACAGTTATTATTATTTTTTTGAACATTTCAGAAAATGCAGTTCAATTCTTCGTTATCATTAAAACAACATTTGCGGAATCCCACATCTAGTAAAATCAGAACAATCTGAAATAAAGAAAACCCTGAAATAATGGTTCAGTGAAAAATACTCTTCAGTAGCGTTCGATGGCTAGGAAGGAAACGGATACAAACTTGATAGTTTTACGTTAACCCTCTATCTTTTTGAAAAAAAAACGTTCACACCTTGTTTTTCCTTAAACATAATCATTTAAAGTTATTCAGTATCTTACTTTCAAAGTTTCAATTTTCACAAAATTAAAGATGAGCGAGAATATTAAAAGGTAATCTTAGCTCAGCTTTGACCAAAAAATGTGGACGTCACCATGACATAGCCCTTCTGTAACACTGAAGTCATACATATTTGATATACTTAAGTGTTTTACCTTCAGGGGCGGGTTGTTCGAAGCTGGGTTAAGATAACCCAGGGTTTGTGCGAAATTTGAACTCAGATATGGGAGCTTAAAAAGCAAATTCAGTTTAACTCTCTTTGCCTACAATTTGATGACTGGATACTCTAAAAAGAATAGAGAAAATTATCCGGATAGAGTGCTTTTGATAAAAAGAAAAAGAAACCCGGGTTAAAATTTAACCCTGGGTTAGTGCTAACCGGTGTTCGAACAACTGGGCACAGGTCTCTAAAATTGATTAATTCACCTAATTGATTGGATTGATTGGAATCGATTACCGTGCGAGATACCGGCCTATTAGATTACATGGAGTTCTACCCAAGCCATTGTTGTCGCTTCAATTGTCCCTCTCTGAGCACAATTGGAGACGACTTAAGAGGGTAGAGACAAGCCAGATGACTTGGAACATGGAAACCAGGCTCAATCTGCGTCTGTTTGTTTGGATCATCTTCTATCCCCGATAAAAGTTTCTATATGACGCATTTGGGAGGCCACTTCAGTGGGCTGCACCCTCCTCTCCTTAGATTTTTTTTTTTTTTTTTGACGCGGGATGAAAAGAGCAGCTGTTCACAAACTATAGCTTCAAAAAAGACAAAACAATACGCAAAACACAAAGGAGAACGCTTAAACATGAAATTAAACCCCACGCTAAAACTCAGCTCTTCGCCTTCATAATTAAAAGTGTCTCATAAGTATCTTTAATTTCTTCCTGGCTGTTAAAGAAATAGATCTATTCATCTCGAAAAAATTAGACACAATGACAAATCGGAAAGAAAGAATAACGATGGTATCTATTCCAATAACTTTTGCATAATTCCGACTTCTCTATCAGGATATTTTTAGAAGCATCCACAAATTTGTAAAACAGTTTACAAAGTTTGAGTAGAGTAATAGCCTTAAAAGGTATCGATTTTGGCGGTTATTTTTTATAACTCCGAGTCTAGGCGTATAAATGATCGACAGCTAAATCAGATTGACAAATTAGGCCGGATGTTACAAAACAGATAGATCAAAGTTAGAAAGCAGTCTAAATAATGTACGAGTCTTTGTCTTAACAAAATCGATCGAAACTAAAGACGCTGTTAATTCAGATAATCAAATTAGAAAATACGGTGAAAATGCACAGATTGCTTAAATATGTCACGATTATCGTGCTTATGTTCTTAAATCTGCTATTGGGTACACTAGCAGCAACTGGAAATATAGGAAAGATACCATTTAAAGAGTTTAAACACAAAGGACTATCTACAATGTTGCGGCACAGACCATGGTATTCAGGCAAACGAGAAAAGCCCTTTCTAAATAACGAGGTAGGTAGACAAATGATAAAAACAAGTCAGTGTAGTTGTATGGAAGTGAGACCTATTTCTTATACTTTTCTGGTGTGTGATGTGGTGGGAAAATGTTACACGGACAGGTAACTGAGCTGAACACCGTGACGTTCATGGTGGGAAATAATCAAAAGAAATAAGAGAAAAAATATCGGCGCTATTATTTAATCAAAATGTTTTTTGTAGATTCTATCTTCTAAGACATTAAATAAAATATGCTTTAGTGTAAAATCTGGGTCTAATCCACATTGAGCTTTTTTGCGAGGAAATAAGAGGTAAAAGAGTTACTCGAGAGAACAATGGAAATGGACGGCAACAGGCGATCTGATTATAAAATTAATATGATTTTCCTCAACATTTGTTAAGCAACTGATAAATCGAGAACAAAGTCATATCTCTCACACTTTAACTCTCATAAAGAGATACTACAAAAACTAGACATAATACGAGTGGCTCGACCATAAAAAAATTCGTTCATCGTTTTGAAACTCATTTATATAAACTCTTGGCGTGGTGTTCACCTGTTGCCAACACGTGTAGTGTTTTCAATTTTTTATGCTCTAATTAATGTAAATGTTTGTTTTGAAACAATGATAAACCGAATCAATCAACTTATTTTGCCTTGGGAAATTGGGCATTTTGGGAAATGACATATACTTTATGAATTTGCGGAGACGATTTTAAAGAATGGAAGACTTCACAAAAGGAAATAAAAATAATTTTTCCGAAGGTAAATATCAAAGAAAATATGACGCCGCTTTGTCAAATCTTAAGGGAAGACTTTCGGCTGAAGATTTGTCGGTACGAGTGTCGGTCAACTTAACGGCTAATTCGCACATGTCACATCTTATATTTTCAGTTATCAGGCAGTCCTTTTGGTCCACCGGAAAGGCCAGGTTTTTCGTCCAAATCCGGCTCGTTCGTTACGTCTATTTCAGATCGACCAGTGCACCATTTATATTTGATATTGCCGATTTTTCTGTTTGGCAAATCCGACAAATTGAGACGTATAACTAGGGCTTTCCTACCTGAAAATTTAAAGGTAGGTGAGCAAAAACAAAGTAAATACCCTTTTACTTCTGTTGAACTGTTAGTGTCTATAAGCCAATCACAACGAGCAAGTTGTCTGTTGAACAGGCAGAGAAAACAAAGACATTGCGACGACATTAACGAAGATGCACAAATATAAACTGTCCGGGTTGACCAATGGCAGACCTGCAAACTGAGCACAGGGAGTCGCATTCAGTCCTTTCCGCGCGTTTTTGCGTTCTTATTTGATAAGCATTGTCTTTACTAAATCTGACTTAATACGCTGAACCCGACGGAATTCAGACAGAAAGGAATTGCATGAAGTTTGCTATCTTTTGGATCTCATCAACACTCCTTGATAGAGAGGTGTATGAACTCATTACAGATACAGGTAGTGCGTCCGTAATGGGAACGTTCGAAAGTAAAATCAATTTTAGCTGTTTTAGTAGGCTAAGCCACTAGTACTTTGCACAAGGTACCAACGACGCAAGCCAGCGAGGGGTTTAGAATTACCTACAGCAAGATGAGAAAGTCGTTGACTAATGACATTTTGTCTTTACAGCTTTGGAAGAGTCAAGCATTTGCAAGAGAATTTAAACAAAGAGAAAATGATGTAAAGAGTGATAGCTAACAAGACAGAACAGCTACAGAAGGGATTGACAAGGAAACAACAGTGCAAGTCTCATAAGAACTGAGAGATACAAACGTTGAATGTTATTTACTTTTAAAAATCTCATATAGGATTAACATAATTGAAAATTTTATCAGTCCTTGTAAGGATTCACGGAAATATCTATGCTGCATATTAAACGATTAGTATTTGCTTATTTTTCAGCTGTTGACTGCTCTTTTGATAAGGAAATTTTTACCGCACAAGTCATTCATTTCACCGTCTTTCCTCAAATAAGCGCTTATCTAACATTCTTTTCAAAAATGGGAGGAAACAAATTGCCTAAATCGTCACGTTAAAAATTCCGTGACAAGTGAAAACTGAGGTTAAACCATAAACTGACTTGGTCCTTCCACTTAATTACCACAGATTTCCAGTTAGTGTTACAACTCGTCTCCACCGCCCGACAGCAACAGGACTGGTCATTCAGTTAACGCAGGTTAAGGTAGAACAAGCTCGTCTCCGATCCTATATTGAGTAACAATGGTGGTTATGATGTTTCAAAGAATATGCGTGCGGGAAAAGAGTGAGGTTTTCTTGTGATATCTTTACTATTTTAGACTGAAAAGAAAGAAGGGCTAGGGGCGCTCTTATCGGGTTTAGGCCGGGACGATCCTTTTATTTTTCGTGTACGCATGTTAAAGCGTGTGGAAATTCGAGGGATACGAAAGTTGGAAAGTTCTGCGGTGTGAAAAAAAAAAATAAACAAAAATTAAACAAGAAATATCAACCGTCGTATTAACGATGATATTGTTTCTACGTACTATCGAAAGAGGATGATAAAGACTTTCTACCCACAAAAGCAACTGAATGCAACTTTTCAGTGGAGATACTAATAGCTCAAATAGCAGTCGATGTTGTTTAAGATGTCTTCTAAAGACCGAACAAGACATAAAAGCTAGGCGAATTCTTTTTTGGGGTTTTCAAGGAGAGTATTAGAGAAACGGTGAGACCGCAATTCCAATGCTACTGTTCACTTATATTGTAGAGCTTTCTGTGGCAAGTAATATACAATAACGAATGAATCCGTTTTCTTTTTTTCGCATTTTACAAACGAACACAAGAATTCAACAATGCAAATTAAAGGGCAAAAAAAGAAGACTAGAGAAGAAATGTAGAAGAAGATCCTATAGTCTCTCCTTAAGTATGTAATTGCTCCAAGTCACTAGCTGACTTTCAAAGTTTGAACCACACTATAAACCGCTGGGGTAGGGCCTACCACTTATCATTTAATTCAATAAAATTCCTTAGGTTTTAGCTTACCCACTGAAAAGAGGTGAAAGACTTGGTAAAGTTTTGTTTGTGAAAGACACTTCTGTCGCAAACTCTCCCTGCTTTACAGAGCGGAAAGGAAGTTATACTTTGAGAACTAACGTCTTAAAGCTATATCACCTCTCCGTTTCATAAAAACGTCACTAGGTCTGTAAGAAAACATTTACTGTGCCCCCAAAGTTGTAAATGTCTGGTTTTTAAATTGGCCTCTTTACATGACTTTTCTATATGTCTTCAATATGTAGATAGTAATAGCCTTAAAAGGTATCGATTTTGGCGGTTATTTTTTATAACTCCGAGTCTAGGCGTATAAATGATCGACAGCTAAATCAGATTGACAAATTAGGCCGGATGTTACAAAACAGATAGATCAAAGTTAGAAAGCAGTCTAAATAATGTACGAGTCTTTGTCTTAACAAAATCGATCGAAACTAAAGACGCTGTTAATTCAGATAATCAAATTAGAAAATACGGTGAAAATGCACAGATTGCTTAAATATGTCACGATTATCGTGCTTATGTTCTTAAATCTGCTATTGGGTACACTAGCAGCAACTGGAAATATAGGAAAGATACCATTTAAAGAGTTTAAACACAAAGGACTATCTACAATGTTGCGGCACAGACCATGGTATTCAGGCAAACGAGAAAAGCCCTTTCTAAATAACGAGGTAGGTAGACAAATGATAAAAACAAGTCAGTGTAGTTGTATGGAAGTGAGACCTATTTCTTATACTTTTCTGGTGTGTGATGTGGTGGGAAAATGTTACACGGACAGGTAACTGAGCTGAACACCGTGACGTTCATGGTGGGAAATAATCAAAAGAAATAAGAGAAAAAATATCGGCGCTATTATTTAATCAAAATGTTTTTTGTAGATTCTATCTTCTAAGACATTAAATAAAATATGCTTTAGTGTAAAATCTGGGTCTAATCCACATTGAGCTTTTTTGCGAGGAAATAAGAGGTAAAAGAGTTACTCGAGAGAACAATGGAAATGGACGGCAACAGGCGATCTGATTATAAAATTAATATGATTTTCCTCAACATTTGTTAAGCAACTGATAAATCGAGAACAAAGTCATATCTCTCACACTTTAACTCTCATAAAGAGATACTACAAAAACTAGACATAATACGAGTGGCTCGACCATAAAAAAATTCGTTCATCGTTTTGAAACTCATTTATATAAACTCTTGGCGTGGTGTTCACCTGTTGCCAACACGTGTAGTGTTTTCAATTTTTTATGCTCTAATTAATGTAAATGTTTGTTTTGAAACAATGATAAACCGAATCAATCAACTTATTTTGCCTTGGGAAATTGGGCATTTTGGGAAATGACATATACTTTATGAATTTGCGGAGACGATTTTAAAGAATGGAAGACTTCACAAAAGGAAATAAAAATAATTTTTCCGAAGGTAAATATCAAAGAAAATATGACGCCGCTTTGTCAAATCTTAAGGGAAGACTTTCGGCTGAAGATTTGTCGGTACGAGTGTCGGTCAACTTAACGGCTAATTCGCACATGTCACATCTTATATTTTCAGTTATCAGGCAGTCCTTTTGGTCCACCGGAAAGGCCAGGTTTTTCGTCCAAATCCGGCTCGTTCGTTACGTCTATTTCAGATCGACCAGTGCACCATTTATATTTGATATTGCCGATTTTTCTGTTTGGCAAATCCGACAAATTGAGACGTATAACTAGGGCTTTCCTACCTGAAAATTTAAAGGTAGGTGAGCAAAAACAAAGTAAATACCCTTTTACTTCTGTTGAACTGTTAGTGTCTATAAGCCAATCACAACGAGCAAGTTGTCTGTTGAACAGGCAGAGAAAACAAAGACATTGCGACGACATTAACGAAGATGCACAAATATAAACTGTCCGGGTTGACCAATGGCAGACCTGCAAACTGAGCACAGGGAGTCGCATTCAGTCCTTTCCGCGCGTTTTTGCGTTCTTATTTGATAAGCATTGTCTTTACTAAATCTGACTTAATACGCTGAACCCGACGGAATTCAGACAGAAAGGAATTGCATGAAGTTTGCTATCTTTTGGATCTCATCAACACTCCTTGATAGAGAGGTGTATGAACTCATTACAGATACAGGTAGTGCGTCCGTAATGGGAACGTTCGAAAGTAAAATCAATTTTAGCTGTTTTAGTAGGCTAAGCCACTAGTACTTTGCACAAGGTACCAACGACGCAAGCCAGCGAGGGGTTTAGAATTACCTACAGCAAGATGAGAAAGTCGTTGACTAATGACATTTTGTCTTTACAGCTTTGGAAGAGTCAAGCATTTGCAAGAGAATTTAAACAAAGAGAAAATGATGTAAAGAGTGATAGCTAACAAGACAGAACAGCTACAGAAGGGATTGACAAGGAAACAACAGTGCAAGTCTCATAAGAACTGAGAGATACAAACGTTGAATGTTATTTACTTTTAAAAATCTCATATAGGATTAACATAATTGAAAATTTTATCAGTCCTTGTAAGGATTCACGGAAATATCTATGCTGCATATTAAACGATTAGTATTTGCTTATTTTTCAGCTGTTGACTGCTCTTTTGATAAGGAAATTTTTACCGCACAAGTCATTCATTTCACCGTCTTTCCTCAAATAAGCGCTTATCTAACATTCTTTTCAAAAATGGGAGGAAACAAATTGCCTAAATCGTCACGTTAAAAATTCCGTGACAAGTGAAAACTGAGGTTAAACCATAAACTGACTTGGTCCTTCCACTTAATTACCACAGATTTCCAGTTAGTGTTACAACTCGTCTCCACCGCCCGACAGCAACAGGACTGGTCATTCAGTTAACGCAGGTTAAGGTAGAACAAGCTCGTCTCCGATCCTATATTGAGTAACAATGGTGGTTATGATGTTTCAAAGAATATGCGTGCGGGAAAAGAGTGAGGTTTTCTTGTGATATCTTTACTATTTTAGACTGAAAAGAAAGAAGGGCTAGGGGCGCTCTTATCGGGTTTAGGCCGGGACGATCCTTTTATTTTTCGTGTACGCATGTTAAAGCGTGTGGAAATTCGAGGGATACGAAAGTTGGAAAGTTCTGCGGTGTGAAAAAAAAAAATAAACAAAAATTAAACAAGAAATATCAACCGTCGTATTAACGATGATATTGTTTCTACGTACTATCGAAAGAGGATGATAAAGACTTTCTACCCACAAAAGCAACTGAATGCAACTTTTCAGTGGAGATACTAATAGCTCAAATAGCAGTCGATGTTGTTTAAGATGTCTTCTAAAGACCGAACAAGACATAAAAGCTAGGCGAATTCTTTTTTGGGGTTTTCAAGGAGAGTATTAGAGAAACGGTGAGACCGCAATTCCAATGCTACTGTTCACTTATATTGTAGAGCTTTCTGTGGCAAGTAATATACAATAACGAATGAATCCGTTTTCTTTTTTTCGCATTTTACAAACGAACACAAGAATTCAACAATGCAAATTAAAGGGCAAAAAAAGAAGACTAGAGAAGAAATGTAGAAGAAGATCCTATAGTCTCTCCTTAAGTATGTAATTGCTCCAAGTCACTAGCTGACTTTCAAAGTTTGAACCACACTATAAACCGCTGGGGTAGGGCCTACCACTTATCATTTAATTCAATAAAATTCCTTAGGTTTTAGCTTACCCACTGAAAAGAGGTGAAAGACTTGGTAAAGTTTTGTTTGTGAAAGACACTTCTGTCGCAAACTCTCCCTG